GATTTTCTCTGCGATGAATTAACGAAGAATTTTTTGTCGATTTCTTATCGAGTTTCAATGATATTTTTATGGTTTTTGAGGTTGCTCTTCCTTCCCCTTAAAAAATTAAAAATAAATAACACTTACTGTAATAATTGTAACATTTCCAAGTTGTATGGCTGCAACGACGACAATATCTGGACTGAACATGGTTGCCAAATTTGTCGGAAAATTTGAACTATCTTTATCTGCAGGTGTTAAATCTACATCAAGCATACCTAAAACAATAAATTAAAGAAATATATTATAATAGAAAAAATGTTTTCGTGAAAATGTACAAATCTATATAACAATAAACAATAGGCGAAAATAATAATAGGCAGACAAAGAAAATGTGCTCAAATCGACAAGAAAGCTCGAAATTGTGGTGCAGGTGAACAAAATTGCACAATAAGTTTGTTTGTGCAAAAAGAGTTATCGAGAAAAAAGAAATATTAAACGCTTATCTAATGAGGAAATGAACCATCTTGGCGCGCTATAAACCGTCGTGGGTCGATATGAAAATCCAAAATAAAACTGATAAAATGTTGCGGAAAAAACGAATTCGGAAGGATTTATTTCACATATCTTTGCAAATCTACAGATGACTAAACTAGATATATGCGTGCCCATTCTAAACTGAAAACATTATGTAATTCTTAATTAATCTATTAGAAACAATTTCCTAATTTTTTTTTGAGAAAAGAACATAATTGATTTATTAAAATTTTCTGCTGAATGATATTTAAAAAAAATGAGAGACTTGGAAAGAAATGGTCTTTTTGGTCTCTGATCGACGATTTAAAATTACCGGGTTTGCTAGACTATCATATATTTGGATAATAGAAATTCAAGGAAGTCACGCCTACACTTTAATACCATCTTAACCACGAAAGCTAATATTTAAATATCAGAGAGATTGGTTATTTGCTAGTTGTGGTGACTTAATTTAGGGCGTGAAAATGTTGGTCAATTCCAAGTAGGACCTGGACATAAAATTAAAAAAAAAGTAATGAAGAAGTCAAAAGAATTATTAGCCTGAGCAAAGCGAAATATCTAAAAATATCAATTTAAAATCACGTTTAAACCAAAAACCCGTTTTTTTAAATTGAAAATTACCTATTCTTTCAAAATGCAATAAAAATACTGGCAAAATCTTAAATAAAATAAAAATGTCGAATAATGTAATATCCACAAGGACATTTAACATTTGAGTAATAAAATTATCTTGAAGTTATCTTGAAGAAAGCCCCATTTGTCAGGTTCTCATTTCATTGCCTATCTGACAAAATGGGTCAAAATCTTTTTATTGCGCGAAAAGAAGAGAATTTCAAGTTTCTTTCTCAAAATCTGCATATTATCTTTAGAAATTGGTAGATCTTATTTGGGATTAGCCGAAATTCCATCTCAAACTTTGTCTAAACTTTGGTTGTCTTCGAAAAAATAATCTCATAACTGCTTAAATTGTTTTTCGCAATCTTAAATAATTCACTTTGCGACAGAAATTTTGTAAAACAAAATGATGTAACAACTGAAGATTCATCAAAACGGTAATCTTCCAAAAAAATTATTTGCCGCTCCAATTACCGTATTCGGAAAGTTGAAATTGATAAACGGGTAAAAAAGACAATGAGGAAGTAAAAAGTGTTGAATCGAGTGTGATTGACGCCTGCTGATAACGAGTCACACTTTTTTAATTCGCGGCAAGATCATCCTACAGTAATCCTTCCAGACAATTCGCAAAATCGACAAAGAATTCATCATTGAACGTTTTTCGAAAAAATTCAATGCAAATGATTTGTTTGAAAAAATGAAAATCGGAGACAACGTAAAAAATTGCTCGAACACGAATGAGTGCTGACAAATACTTCTGAGCCGAATAGGACTAATGAAATCGGTGTCTTACAAATCCCATTTCGAAAGATGAAGCATTAGACGAAGTGCTCACTGATAATATGAATATATTCTTGAGATTACGATCGACGATTAAAACACATTACTGCTAATGAAGCTTCAAAATGATCATCAGTAAGATTGACATAAAACATTGACATAAAAATATTAATGTATTTAAAAAAAATGATTGAATAAGTTTGAGGCAAAAACAGACATTGTAGATATTTGCAGGCGACAATATTTTTGCAAATAGACATCATCAACATTTTTCGATGATTTTTTTCTGCTGTTGACTGTTTGTCAAATTTCGACGGAAATACAGTATGGTATTAAAAATATATATATTCGATTGACTTCTTATTCGGATGACCGTAGATTTTGGTGCTTCGGATCAGTTTTTATTGGTGATATTAAGGATAAGAAATTTTGAAAATCATTCGCACCAAATACTGACAACTTTTTTTTTAAATGAAAATTGAAGCCGCTGAAATATTCTATTCTGATATGCCTCAAATCGGAATTGCGACTTCAATCCAAATCGAATGTTAACCTGCAATTATGTGAGATCACGATGAGACGGATTCGAAAGTCAACATCGTGTCCGGATCAAAGTTCCGCACCGCCCGAATTTTGGAGGGTGAAAACGCGGGACGAGAAAGACACAAATTAAAACGCAACAATGAAACAGAATCGATTGTGCAAACACTTGGCAACAGATTCGAAATCGATGGTTTTCATTTAGTTTGATATTGATGAGGTGTTCATTCATCGTCGGAAGTGAATCTCAAGGGCACGACTAGACAGCACAAAAATAAGGTTCGTCAGCACTCGAGCGTCTGTTTGCTGTCGCCACACAAGAGCCGGTGTCTGCCGTCGACATCCAGACAGACATTCGCCCTCGCACATGTTTTATAACAGGTTGGTCGCGTTCGAATCATTACAACAGAAGAACAAACTACAAAGAGAATGGTGGCAATTATCACAATGCACATCGACTTTCTAGAATTTTGTTTTGATTATTGTTGATAAAATTACTGTGTATGTAGACCAATAAATAAAGGCATAAATGTGTATGTGAAATAATGATAACGATTGGTATGAATGAGAATTGCGATGAAGGCAGAAATTAAATTCCCCGAAAACGTATTGACCGTGAGAACAAATAGATAATAAAAAAAACTCGTCATTTTTTTGAATAAATATTATATACATCCGATAGAAGCGTGGAAAAATGTTTTTTTTTTCAATTTTCGTGTTTGACTGTTTTCGAAAATCTTTTAAAATATGCAAAACTGTGAGACGATGTAAATGCGGCTCATTCTTCCGTTACTTTTTTGTTGCAGAGTTGAAATTTAAATCTATTTTTACACTAATATTGAACCCATAATTAATGTCGTATATATCAAGTTTGAGGGGTTATTTAAACAGAAAAAAAAAATGAATTGTGGAGCGAGTTGTTGATAAACGTGCGAAATTGTACCAAATGTTGATGCTCTCGTAATCTTTTCGTAAAATTCCGATCTCTTTAAGCAGTTTTACAATAAACTTCACTAATTTTCTTGATAAGAAAAAACACTTCATTCAATTTTTATGCGAATTCAAATATTTTTTTCAAAAATAATTAATTGGCAGTTTGGTCAATTGCAAATCCGCGAATTGACGAAAACAATTTTCATTTTTGATTGTTCAATCTGTTCTCATTAAAAGTGAAACGATACGGCGACCGGTGGGCCATAGGAATGTGCTTTTCGCCATGATTTCACCAATTCTTATTTTTATATTTTCATGGATTTTTTTTACATTTTTAAAGGTTTTTGTAAATTGCAATTTTTGAAATAAAACCTAAAAATAAAAATTAAAAAATTAATCCGCGCGAGGCGATAGGAAAAGGCGAATGGCCCTATCGCCAATGCCGGACGATATTCATATGGATATTATTTTGTTTTATAATTTAAAAATATTGACTGGCAATTGAACACCAAGATATGCACATTGAACTCGGATTAGTCATGTCCGAAGATGTATATATATATTCGAATAAATGCGAAGAGTCTGCAAAAATAAAACAAAGCCCAATTTGAAAATCTGGTTTAATCTTCACATTTTGTATAATAACTATGAAATAATCAAGAATATTTCTTGAGAAATTCTTGAGGAAAAATTTTGAAAAACCCCATCAAAAAAGACTAAAAATCAAATTCTCGCGTAGTACTACTACATATAAATGAGTTGATGATTTCTACAACATCAAAACATTCTCTGGTCCGGATTATTCATTTCTGTGAATCCGACTTGATGCACCAAAAAGATTCATTAAGATTCGTAGCTCGCCTAATCTTGACTCTTTCTTTCTATTTCTAGTGGTGTACTCAGTTCCTAGAAAAGCCAACTTTTGCATTAAATAATGTATGTATGTATATACACATATAATATCACTTTTGCTAATTATAAGGATTTTATGCTAATCTTTCGACTTGGGAGACCATTCGTGGAATAAACATGATTATTAGAAGATTTATTACTCATTTTTCAATCTGTTTGTAGAGAGAAAGAAAGAGAGAGAGAGAGAGGGAGAGAGATATTTGCAAGCAATTTGCTCGAGGCGCAGGTGAAACGCAATGTGTTCATAAAAACGTTTCTATTTATTAGACAATATCATTAATGGAACCTTCTATAATATAAAAATGATATGCTACCACATTGCGTAAATCTACAAAAATTATTCTACCGACAGAACACCCGAGCGACCACAACCATATGTATTCACTTGTGAGAAGATATTCCTAATGTACCTCAATGGAAGCATTTTGTTGGGCGTATTGTACCCGTGGGATGAGTACATAAGCAATTACAAATAACGTTCGATTTGTCATCTTCTTGTAGTCTCAGATGTTTACATATAAACAATTAATTAATTTTAATCTCCAATTCTCATTTTTTTGTGTGAAATTGATGAAAAAAGCACATTTTCAAAAATGAATAGTTTTATATGGATTAAAAACACTAAAAAATTTGTTATTCTACTTTATTTTTGTTGGGAAAATAGGAAAAATGAACAAAATCATCATCGCGGGGCGGACAATGGCTTAATAAGTCATCTCGCACTTCTCATCGACGACAATACGAAGATTGCGGAGGGTCTTTCTCGGCTGCTCCTCGAGCTCGGCGAGACGTTCCTCGCTAAGCTGGCGCATTGGGTTGCGGCGAAGGTCGCGGACAAGACGACGAGCCCAGATGTTCGATGATGGGAAGCAGTTGAATTCAACCTGAAATGTTCGCTGGTTGTTTCTCATAATAAATGTCGAATAACCTCTTCCTTGTGGCTCTTGATGATCATTTGAGATTCGGTTGGGCAACGGGCGATTGGTTGAGTCGAGATACAGACCTCGTGCTGTCTCTCGGTAACAAGAATTTGCTCCTCTGGTTGAGCATTTTCCTTCTCCTCACGATCATACTCTTCATCGCTCTCCTCCTCGTATTCTGGCTCACGTCTAAAGTTCACCTTCTTCTCGAATATTTCTTCCTCGTAATCACATTCGTCGTCTTGGTACAAGAAGCTCTTAGCAAACTCTCCAATGTTGTGTTTCTCCATGTTGTCAGCGGCGAAGAATTCGGAATCCTTCTCGTTGTCATAGTGTCCGCAGAGTCCGCATTGTTGGTTACGGTAGGTGGCGGCAAGGTGGATGCGAGCGGTGCGGCCGTTGAAGTGAACCGAGATCTCGTCAGAATCGAATTTGATGGAATCCTTGTTGATCCAGAAGAGAGTGAATCCAGTCTTCTCAACAGTCATGTCTTCGTTATCGTACTCGAGTTTGTCTCCGTTCAGACGAACAGTCATCTTCTCCTTGTTGAAGTCCATCTCAATTTCATTGTCTTTGTACAAAACCTTGAGGTTCTTCCACTCCTCGTTCTTCTTGATTTCCTTCATGAGGACGACAAAGCGTGGTTTCTCAGATCCACAATCCTTGGCCAAAACCGAGTAGCACGGGGTGAACTTGTTTCTATAGACGACGTTGTCGAAAGTCTCGATCTTGCTCGACTTCACCATGCAGTCAGCGCTCTTTGGGGATTCAAGCAGGTGCTTTTTGTAGGATGGGGTCTCCATGATTTGGACGGTTGGGAGGGTGACTGGAGTGTCAATTTGGTTGAAGTTGGTTCTCGTGAATGGAGTCTCAACAGTCAAATCCATGGTTTGACGGAAACGTGGTTCAATAACGAGTTTGGCACGGATTCTTTGATTGTCTCTAACATCATCGAAGATTTCAACAAAACGAGCCCATGGCTTTTGCATTTGGAGTTTGAAGTCCATCATAGTCCAGAGCTTCTCGATCATCTTCTCCATTGGCTTCTCAAGCTTGTAGTTGGCGATCATTTGGTATTGATTGAGTTGAGCGTATTGGGCGAGTCTATCAGAGATTGTGTTGGTCTCCTTGAGTTGCTCGAGCCATTGCTTTTGCTCTTCGCTCTGTTGTCCTTCAATCTTCCAGTCGACCATGTTCTTCTTCCACAACCACTTTCCAACAATAACCAAGTTCTTGTGCTTTTGGTCCTTAAGCTCTTCGAGGCTTCTTGGAACATCTGGGAAGTACCAGTCAAGATGAACATTCATTGGCTGGGTATTCTGAACATCGACGAGTTCGAAGCGCGACTTGCACGCACGCCATTTTCCAGAGCAAATGTTGGTGAGGTGAGCGGAGACGTAGTCCTTGATGTCGAAGCTGATGCGGTGCTTGTAGGTTGTTTCGCGTTTCCACGATTCCATGATTCTTTCGATTTCAGTCATTTTCTCGGTCTCATCCTCGTCTTCGTAGTTCATGAAACGGTTCGACTTTCTATAGTAGGTCTCGATTTCTGGCTTTTCCATTTGAACTGGCTTGAAGAGATCAACATTGAAGGTCGACTCAATGACTTCTGGTGTGTTCTTGGTTGGGGCCACGAACACGTCAATTGTGTTTTCAACGATCCATTGTGGAATGCGTGGATTGACTGGCTGAACGAACATTCCTTGGACATTGACTTTGACGAGCGAGTTTTGGAAGTATTTGCGGTCAATTGGATGGTTTCTCGCCTGGTGAGCTGGAAGCATCCACGTCATCTCGACTGGCTCTGGGTATTGGCGGTCATCAGTCATCATGGTTCTGACGAACGTGACTGGACGAGAATGGAACATGAAGACACGACGCTCGTCAGTTGGAGTATTGATGAATGTCTTCCAGTTGAATGTCTTGGTGCGCCAGTCCATCTCAACCTTGAGGTCGATTGGAGTGTCAAGGGTGATTTGGTGAAGGAATTTGGTTCCAGTCTGGACGAATGGAGTCATGACAGCGAGAGAGAGAACATGGGTCGAGGCGACCTTCGGATGAGCAACGAATGTCATGCGGAGTCCGTCAAACGATTTTCCGTTCTTTGGCTCAATTTCGAATTTGAAGTGTCCATTGATGGTGGAAACGGTTGGCATCTTTGAGTTGAGCATGACTGGAAGGCCGAGAGCAGTTGGAACACGGCGGACGCTTTCGTAGAAGAAGGCTGCAGAAGAAGTGGAGAAGCGAATGCCTTGGGCGAGGAGTCTCTCGAGGTCTCCGATTTCGATTCTTCCGTTTTGGATCATCGATCTGAGAGTTTCTGGGATCGATTCAGCATCAATCGGAAGGAAGGCATAGTCCATATCGCGGAAGCGGAAGTAAACAAGAGCATGTGGCTCGTCATAGGATGGGCTTCTTCTGGTGATTTGAAGTTTCTGGAGAAGCGAGTTGAGGAGATCGGTTGGGCGGAAAGATCCGGAGGCGCGTTTGCCGCGAACAACAACCTTCTCCCATCCATTCTCTTGGACCTTGTTGAGAACTTGACGAATGAGCTTCTCGAGATTCTGTTGGCTGGCTCCGATTTGAGCGAAGTATTGTTCCCATTCTCCGGCGTAGACTCCTTCCAAAGAGGCCATCAATTCAGTTGGGAGCACGGATTCATTGGTGAAGATGTTTCCGAAGGTCATGTCGAGGGCAGATTGATGACGCTCCCAGTTCGCAGACCATTTTCCGTAGCGGCTTTCGAATGACTCGATTTGTTTGCTGCTGAATGGCACAGTCTGAAGGATGGTGTTGACACGCTTGGCGATGCTACGTTCACATGGTGATTCGCTGTTGGCGTAGCTACGGAGAAGCGAAAGAGTGAAGGCACGGACTTGTTGGCTGCGTTCTTGACGGAGTTGTTGGCCGATTTGGGAGAGAACTGGCCATTCTGGTTGAGTGTTCATGATCTGGTGGAGAGCAGCCATACGGAGATAGTGTGGCTGTTGACGGCTGCGGTAGACTGGCATAAGAACCTGTTGAACCTTCTTTGGCATCACGACTTTGAGGCGTCTGAGGGCTTCGACAGCTTGAATGCGGATAGTTTTCTCGTTGTCCATGTTAAGAATGATCTTCTCAAGATCGAAGATCATCGTATCCAATCCGGTGTTGGCCATAGTCTTGAGGGCGAGAACTTTTTGACTGCGGTCAGTGGCGTACTCGAATTTCTCGACGAGCTTGCGGACGATGGCGAGCTTGGTTTCACGTGGGCATTGGGTGTTCAGGTCGCGTCCGGCGTAGATGCGGGATGTTGGCATGCAAGCTCCGTTGACGACAGCTCCGTAGGTGAGCCAGCAGGCTTGGGAAAGGTATGGGTGGGCGACGGCGATGTCAGACTCGCAGAAGCGAAGAACATCCTCGGCAATCTTGACGGATGGGAATCTCATGTCAACAAGAGATTTCAAACTCATCGAGGCTCTGAGTGGAGTGATGTACTTGCGCTCCTCAACTTTCTCGAAGAATTGGCGGATGGTGACGCGAGTGGCGGCAATAGTAAGGAAGTTGAAGTACAATGAGCGGATGTGTTCTCCAACCACCTCGTTCTTCTCGGAGAGATTGATGACGCTTCTGAAGATCTTGTTGAGTTCCTCCTCATTGCACATGCGGAGCATGTCAACGACTCTAGCGGTGAAGTGCGAGATCTCTGGATCGACCTCCTTTTCGATCTTCTTGGCAATGAGAGCCATCATCTTCTCGATGATCTCGACCTTGTTGTTCCACATAGCTGGCATCTGTCTCAAATATTTCTCCTCTCCAGTCTGAGCCCATTGCTCCTCAGCGAGTTCGTGCTCGTTGTTGTAGATCAAAGTAACTGGCTTGTCTCCATGGACCTTCTTGATTTGCGATTTCATTTCACCAGCGAAGACGAGCTCCATTGTGTTGATGGTGAAGGCGGAAAGGAGTTGCTCCTTCTCGTTGATTGGGGCAAACAAGTGTTGCGAGCGCAATTCGACCGAGTTGATAAGGAACTGGGATGGGGTTCCAGTGATGTTGAACATCATCACCGTCTGGCTCATCTTTTCTTGGTCCAACGTTGTCTTGCAGTCTTCGCAAACTGGAACACGAACGTTTCGCATGATTGGTCTGCGCACGCATTTCTCGAAGTTGATCGATTTCTCCCAACGTTGTTCTTGCGACTCGCTGTCATCTTCCATCGTGTAAAGGATCTCGCATTCTCCTTCGATGGTGCGCTTCAAGCAATATTAATATAAGGCTTAGAAATTATTGAATTAATACCTCAGTTGTGGAGAAAGTGTTGACTCCCTTCTCTTCGTCGTCGAACTTCTCGGAGTGGCCCTTCTTGAGGATGTTGACCTGGAGCATGTTCATGACAGCTCTCTTGATGTTCTCGGACCATGGTTTGTCGTTATCAGAGAATTTAATGTCAGATATCATTCCGTGCTCGTAGTAGAACTCGACTGGCATTGAAAGCAGTTCCTCATTCTCCTTCTCCAAATCGACCTGGAAAAATGAGTCGATTATTAAGTAAATATTCGACGTCGATTACCTTCTTGAAGACCGACATTGGCTGCATGGAGCGAGAAAATCTCTCTTCTGGCGAGGTGGCGAATTCGAATTCGTCGAGTCTCATACGCATGGTGTCCTCCTTGATCATTTGAAAAGTGGCGAGGGTTTGGAAGCGAGTGATGCCTTGCTGCGAGCCAGGCACTGGAAGACCAGCGGAAAGTTGTCCGTTGAAACGGTAGCGGTATTCGCGGCCATTGCGGAACGAGCTCTCCTCGATGTTGCGGTTTTCAAATCTTGGCGATCTGAGGGCGAGTGCAGCGCCCAGAAGGGCCAGCACGATGGCAAACTTCATTCTTCAGTTGACTTCGGAACGAAGATCGGCAAAGAGAAGTGAAGTGTCCAACCGAGGGTTTCAGCTTTTATACGAGCCAATAATGATTGCCCGATGACGAGCCGTCAATCTCGCGATGCAGAAGTTAAAGACGCACGAAATAGTAGGCGATAAGGGAGTGACGCAGACATAGTTATCAGACGGTGCGGGAGCCGTCATTCACGGTTTCTGGTTGAATTCTACTTGACATTTGATCGAATCGCGCCACACAAAATGTTCAGAGTAGAGAAGTATCAAAATTCACTTTTTTGCAACTTGATTTATTCAAAAAACAACTTGCAAAAATGAAAGTAAAATTTAAATTTTCGATTCAATCAATAAACAACGCACTAGATTGCGAAAATGGTGAGGAAATATTTTTATATGGACATGAATCCGCTAGAATGTTAGGGCGACGTTACATTCAAATCAAAATCACAAATCTATTTTGTAATTTCTAGTGAGCACAATTTTAAAATGCAAAACAAAAAATTTGCACTAAAATTCGAAAATGTATATTTCATCGTTTTCTATCAGTTTTCACATAAAATTCTCACATAATTGTAAGTATTTTATAATAATGTATGTTTCGTAAAATGCAAAAAAAACCATTCTCTTTTGATATGACCAATTTGTGGTTGTATAGTTATTCAAACTTTGAGGATTTGCGAATATGAGGAAATTTTTAATTAGAATATTGAAATCGTATAAAAGCTTTATAATCGTTTTTATTATTAAACCTTCTTGATTGTAAGTAGGTTTACGAATTAGTATTGAATTTGGTTTTTACAAATTCCAAAATTTCAAAGTTAGGGTAATTTTGAGCAACCGCCAAATGGGTCCTACAAAGATGGTGAAATATTGGCTAATTTGGAATTATGTTGTAGCAGGTGGAAATTCAAAGAATTTAGGCAAAATATAATTCTGTTTCTTGGCGCGAAATTACCAAATTTTTGGATGCACTTTTGGTGAATACTGTTGTTTTACGTATGTTTTCTACACAGGCATTCATGAGCCGAAAATATATGAATTTCAGATTGATACAACTGTTTTATGAAGAGAATAAATTTGTAGTACATACATACATACATATTACCCGTAAAATGTTTTAAATCTTTTCTTTTTGAAATACCTAATGAATCACCATGGAATTTCATACCCTAGCTCAACGAAATCATAATAATACATTCGAATTAATGCCAATCGAATACTTGGGTCAGACCATACTAGATTCTCGACTTCGGCATGGAAGGATGTCCCAACTGTGGCGTGACTTGTTTTGTCTGAAATTTTTCGAATATTTTTCAAATTATTGTTATTATAATTGCAAAAAACGAGCACTAATTGCCGATATACAGGGATTTAATCGCAAGTTATCCGATAAAAAACCCGTTAAGATATTCAAAAAAAACTTGAATCAGCATTTAATTTTTTGAGCTTTCTGTTCTGAAAATCTTTAATTAATTACCTTGCAATTGTTTAGAAATCTCATCAATACGTTTGCTGTCAACATTATTTTTGCGAAAAAAATCGATTATTTGCATTGTCATTCTACTCGGATCTTCCCATATCCTCGGATATTGGATAACTGTCGAATTATGCAGACGGTTCTTCATATCGCAAAACCATGTCTGCGGGGCAAAATGAGTATCTTCCATAGTGTAGACTGGAAGAAACATCGAGATTCGCATAAGTCGTCGGTACTCTTTTCTGATGAAGCACCGAACATCACGTTTGCATCCGTGACACACTTCCGAACTTGAGCTAAAAAATGAGGATTTGCATTTGAAGTTTGAGATTTTCGAAAATTCCGGTTTTTCGCCGATGATTTTTAAAGATTTGTGTGTTGTTGATCTGAATTGCGATTTGGCTTTTCTCATGTCTCGAAATATAATCTTAAAGATTTGTCGCAACCTTCTTACGAGTTTGGTTGGTATTGCAAACGCGGAATTTTACGAGTCAAGCGGATGAATAAAAAACCTTCGACATTTGTCTGCAAATCCAGAAATGAATCGTTCGATTGGATGACGTGTGACAATCAAATTATTTCGATTCCCAATGAGTGCCGAATATTTCACTTCGTTACTCTTGCAAGACCTCAAAATGTGTTGATATTAAACTATTCTTCGATTTTGTTTTCGGATTTTTAGTACCTCTTTTCATATTTTTCTTTAGAAAGCGTTCGATTCGATCGTATGAACTTCTCCGGATTTTCGAGATAGCAGAACATTGCCGTTCCAATGGTTGACATTACCTTCGTAACAAGGCAAAACGATATGTTTTTCTTTTTTGAGACCTTCAACGAATTTAACAATTGATGGTTAATCCCCAAAAACTTTTGGAGTTCAATAATGAATGCATGAACAAAACCTCGTGGGTTTGGAAAACCAGTGGAGCTCGAATTTCCATTGACGGAACTCATTTGTATTCTTACGTCAATGAAAAAAAAAAACAATAAAAAAATACAAAAAACTTACAAAAAAATCTTGAAGATAATTATAATATGGAGGTATTAAGGTCTTATTGAAATCGACATCTGATAATAGAAATATTGAAGGAAGGTTCTGTTTGAAAACGACACCTGCGCAAATTTCCAAAGGATCATCGCATACTTTGATATTCGCCATTGAATTCTTCAACCATTTGTTGAACAACAGTGCGAGACAAAAAAGAAGAGTTATAGGAATTAAAGTACGTCTCACAAAGTTTAGCGGAGTTTCGAGAATTTTACCAAATGAACTTTTTGCTTCGATCTTCTCGTCCGACGGCAACAGTTGGTATTTAGTTTGCATTGTCCCTATTGCGTCACCCAGTGCTATTACTCGTTTATCTATTTAGGAATCAAGCGATCATTAGATTTATTGCGTAATGTTGGCGCATCAGATACAATTTACAACAGTCGGCAAAAAATAATAAGAAAGATTTCTAAACATAATTTGCTGATTGAATTGGAAATGATGTTTGCTTCGACGCGATTCTCATCTGTACTACTCGCAAACCATTCGAATCATTAAGTCCCGCCCCGAAAGCTTGACGACGAAACGAATATTGTAAAATTCATGAGAATCATCTCGCCAACGAACACTCTCACTCTTGAACAGTGGAACTCGTTATAAATATTTTTGAGATGGTACCGAGAAATATGTATTTTTTTAATATCTCAAAATCAGAATCGACATGTTTTGAAACTGAGTTTGAGCGAAATCTCGAGCAACCAGAACTTTGGTTGCAATTTGCCAAGATATTTTTTTGTTATTTTTTCCAATAAAAAAAATTTCACATTTATAAAGATACATATGTTCACCAATTTTCATAATGTTATCTGAAAATTTGGCCGACTGGCATTGAAAACACTGAAAATTGGTCACATGCAACCGTTTCACATTTATAAAGCCACCCTAGTGAAAGGTCTGAAAATGTGGAGACCTGAAGAAGAATGAGCAGTGTAGTTATAAATAGTGTACTGTCAGATATTTTTCTTTTTTTTCCGCGTATTTTAACCAACATTTGGACATGTCCCGGGGATTTTTGCTCACCGATGCCGAAAAGGTTACCATAGATTCCTTAAAATTCGCTGGATGGTCGAACCGAAGGATTTCTTCGCACTTGAAGCGGTCGAAAACTTGCATTATTAATTTTGGCAACAAGATTGACAAAAACCAGCACCCAAAAAATCCCGGATCGAAGGCGAAACTGAATTCCCGAGACCGAAGATCGATCATCCGAGTAGCATCCAACACGATGAAGTCATGCAACGACATCAAAAACGAGCGGAATCTTGATGTTAGTAAAACGACGACTTGGAGGACACTTAATGATGATCCCAACATCATCCGGGCAGTTACGCGTCCAGCTCCGAGCTTCCAGGACCATCACAAGTTGCGTCGTCTCGAATTGCTCGAGACAACATGGCCATTGATTGGACAAAGGTAACTTTTTAACCAAATTTTTCTTAAAAAACAATAAGATTATCATTAGATCATTTTCTCGGAAGAGAAAAAGTTCAACCTAGATGGTCCCGATGGAAATTAGTGTTATTGGCACGATTTACGGAAGGACAACCTAATTTTTTCAAAGCAGAACTTTGGTGGCAAGAATCTCATGGTATGAAGAGCATTCTCTTTGGCGGGATTTCTCAAGCTGGCGTTTGTCAACTGTTGGATAAACTCGCTGGACTATCAGCGAGGGTTAGAGGACCATCTATTACCATTTCGATGACGATTTCGGCAAAGAAAGTTCGTATTTCAACAGGCAATGCCTCAATTCATGCGAGTCGATCCATTTTGGATTGGCTCATCAAAGAAAATATCGACGTTTTGAGGTGGCCAGCGTCCTCACCAGACTTAAATTCGATGGAGAATGGTTTAGGAGAGCTGGTTCGCTGCTTTTATCGTCATGGCAAGCAATATCGACCCATTGATGAATTGAAAACGGCGATTACCGACGAGTGGGATCTATTGGACCAGAAACTCAACACCAAGACCACCCAAAATATGGAAAACCTGGTCCAATCGATGCCAAATCGTATTTACGACCTTATTTCTTTAAAAGACACCGCAACTAAATATTTATCTGGTTTTATAATAGAGTTTTTACTGTGTTCACTAGTGTGGCTTTATACAGGGTGTCATTTAAGTTCCCGCACAAAAGTTTGACGCCATGAAGAGCTTGGCTGGCGCACTTTTCGTGCACCAATACAATTTATTTTTGTTAAATAAGGTATATTTTACTTACTTTCCAAGTTTCACCTCTTTCGGATGTGTTTCCGAGAAATGGCGAAGGCTAACATCCATCGCGCTTCCATTATCGAAGTTCATAAGCAAAATGTGAGCCCGAGAGACATCATTGAACGCCTCGCTGTGCCTCGTAGAACGGTTTGCGACACCATCAAACGTTTCAAGGAGCTAAATACGACCAGTGACCGTCCCAGACAAGGAAGACTCGTCTCAGTAACCACTCCGAATTAAAGTACGTCTCACAAAGTTTAGCGGAGTTTCGAGAATTTTACCAAATGAACTTTTTGCTTCGATCTTCTCGTCCGACGGCAACAGTTGGTATTTAGTTTGCATTGTCCCTATTGCGTCACCCAGTGCTATTACTCGTTTATCTATTTAGGAATCAAGCGATCATTAGATTTATTGCGTAATGTTGGCGCATCAGATACAATTTACAACAGTCGGCAAAAAATAATAAGAAAGATTTCTAAACATAATTTGCTGATTGAATTGGAAATGATGTTTGCTTCGACGCGATTCTCATCTGTACTACTCGCAAACCATTCGAATCATTAAGTCCCGCCCCGAAAGCTTGACGACGAAACGAATATTGTAAAATTCATGAGAATCATCTCGCCAACGAACACTCTCACTCTTGAACAGTGGAACTCGTTATAAATATTTTTGAGATGGTACCGAGAAATATGTATTTTTTTAATATCTCAAAATCAGAATCGACATGTTTTGAAACTGAGTTTGAGCGAAATCTCGAGCAACCAGAACTTTGGTTGCAATTTGCCAAGATATTTTTTTGTTATTTTTTCCAATAAAAAAAAATTTCACATTTATAAAGATACATATGTTCACCAATTTTCATAATGATATCTGAAAAATTGGCCGAGTGGCATTGAAAACACTGAAAATTGGTCACTTGCAACCGTTTCACATTTATAAAGCCACCCTCTTGTAAGGTCTAAAAATGTGGAGACCTGAACGAGAATTAGCAATGTAGTTATGAATAGAGTACTGTAAGATATTTTTCTTTATTTTCCATGTGTTTTAACCAACATTTGAACATGTCATAGGGATTTTTTCTCATCGATGCCGAAAAGGCTTCCATCGATTTCTGAAAATCGCTGGATGGTCTAACCGAAGAATTTCTTCGCACCAGAAGCGATCGAAAACTTGCATTATTAATTTTGTCAACAAGATCGACAGAAATCAGCTACCAAAAAACCTCGGATCGAAAGCGAAACTGAACTCCCGCGACCAAAGATCGATTCTCAACACGATGATGTCATAAAACGACATCAAAAATGAGCTGAATCTTGATGTTAGTAAGACGACGACTTGTAAGACACTTAAAGATGATCCCAACAGGATCCGGGTAGTTTTACGTTCATATCCGAGCCGCGACTGCCGCCGCCTGAACACTGAGCCGCCGAGAAGCGGCGATTACCGACGAGTGGGATTTATTGGAGCAGAAATTCAACACCAAGACCACCCAAAATGTGGAAAACCTGGTCCAACCGATGTCAAATCGTATTTACTACCTTATTTCTTTAAAAGACACCGCAACTAAATATTTATCTTGTTTTATAATATAGTTTTTACTGCGTTCACGGCGGTGGCTTTATAAATGTGAAACGGTTACAAGTGACCAATTTTCAGTGTTTTCAACGTCACTCGTCCAATTTTTCAGATATCATCATGAGAATTGGTCCACATATGTATTTTTAAGATCCGAATTCAATTTTGAAAACAGAATTTAAAATTTTTCACAATTGACAAAGTTAAACCCCAAAACAGGGGTGGCTATATAAATGTGAAACGCACTGTAGTAAAAAACGACATGGGCAACCGCGTTTATTCACTAACAGAATTAAAGAATTCTGGCTTTCGAAGCGGTTTGTGTGGGCGGTGATGCGTGTTCTTCAAAAAATTCCACGCAAACTCGAACATTTCCAACACTGCAACTGCGCTAACAGACGAAAAATAGTTAAAAAATAGTTGAAAAATAGTGCAGACTTTGGATGAAAGAGGGATCTGTAACAGATCTATTTTCAAGTCTATTTTTCATCAGCGCTTCATCTATTTCTCAGCCATTCTCTATCTATTTAGCATCTTGGATTCATCTATTTTTCATCCATTTTATGTCTTGTCTCTGTCCCTCGTTCTTGCATTTTTCATCAGTTTTCTATCTATTTCTCATCCATGATTCATCCTTTTTTTAACCCATTTTTGTCTACTTCTTGTCTCTTATTCATCTATTTTGCGTCTATTTTTCTTCTGGATGGTTTTTATGAAAAAACAACAGTAAACGGAAAACAACAAAATAAAAAAAAAGAAAAATACAATAAATTGTTTAACATTAGAAATATCAAATTTCAATTAAATAGAAAAATGCTGATTGAAATATTCAGCGGCATCGGGCTTCAGTTTTTTGAGTTGGTGCTCTTTTCCAATTTTGATAGCCAAACTATGCGCCATAACTTTGTTAGCGTGGTGAGATCCTTTCTGATCGTTATAATTTGAACGAAGGCGATCGCTAAAAGTACATGGTGTTATTTAGTGAAACATTCGCATAACTACATGAAAGTAATCGCAGACTCTTTGATTTGCACAGCAACTGAAGTAGCTTGATCCGTCGTTGGAGCAATATCTAATCCAATGAACAATGCTTCTTAATTTTTTTTTAACATTGTTCACATATGTATGTATTATCAGAATTACCAGATATCATTTGATTAACAGCAGAATCCATGTGGAGATATTCCAGACGAGCACCAGGCGTTCCTAACAAGGTATAAGCTATCAGGTAGTTATCCTTATCGTAAATCTGCAAAATATATATGAGCTCTATCTAAGACAACTTTAAACCTCGGCAAATACATGACGCACCAGTTTCGATGCCGATGTCAGAAGGTTTTGACCAATACTTCCGACAAATTTTGAGCAGATTTCTGCGATATCGACAACTACACCCGACGGCAGTGTGTATTTACAGTGTTGGTGATTCAATAAGCAGCCTTGGAATAGGTAGATGGTCTCATCGATATCAACTTTATTCTGAAAAAGTTCACTGCACATATCATTATGCATTCAATACCTTTTTCCAGATGCGCGTTCGATATTCGTCTAGTCTATTAAACTGAAAAAAAAAACTGTATAGTCCATTGTCCGAGCAGATTAAAATTTTCATACCATAATGGCCATCCCGCACATACTCATCCACATTTCTTTCACGCCCTCATCTTTCTCTGCTTCGGCTTTTCTTGCAAAAACGTCCACGTCAATTCCATTTGTTGCGTTTTTTACAAAGTTATTTACTGAACTCTGGAATGAATTTATCTTTAACAGCAAATCTATGTTCATTAATTGTTACCTTGACTTCATCGTAAGATTTCGCTATGTCGCCACCAGAGAAAATTACACGGCGTGCAAGCTGTGATGCGTTGAGGTATCCATCTTTAACCAGCGGCTCATTCGACTTCTAAATTGAATGAAACATTAAAGATATTGGTTGTATGGCAAGGTGTTCCGAGTGCGACGAAATAGTAGACGCAGACACCTATACACTCTCACTAATGCATAGGCGAGTTTTCCTTTGCATCTCTGCGCCTCCATCTCACTATGAGAGGGAGGCCCAGCCCCTTTTTTTGGGAGTTGGTACGCTTGCCGCTTTACAGGGATATGCGTGAAAACACCGGGACGCAAAAGAACAGAAAAAACCAAAAGAAAAAAAAACACCCATCTCATTTAAATTCACTTCCGTTGGTTTTTTCGCAGCAAATACCAATCATCGTTTATCTATTCGCAAAAAAAACGAACGCTTTTTTTGAGTTTCTTTAAATCAACTTTTATATTTTTAACAGATTTTAAAAGTCACAAAATAAAAAAAAACAGGCTAAAAAATTGATCTTCCGCGAGATAAAAAGAAGAAAAAATGAGGGGGGTGGGGTCCTATGCTGAGTTTCGCATCGACCTGTTCTGGTAGCCACTTCTTTTTTTTTCAGGATCAAACTATTAATTGTGTGCGGAACAAAAGTCGTGTAAAGCAGGGCCGGATTGCCGAAAAAATTGTCGACAAATCTTCGTTTAAGTCTCTCCACAAAAAATTGGCTATTTGATGTTGCCTTCTTCATATTTTTATAGTGACTTTGGCATTTTCTTGAATTTCTAAAGCCAATTATTTTTCAGAAACCCGTTTTCTCGAGAATGTTGCATCGGACAAACGAGTTGGTGCTCTGAGCAAAAAGCGAGCTGCTCGAAAGAAGTATCACAGAAAAAAAAATAAATAATGAAAATAATAGAAAATTTCAATACAAAAAAATAAACATTTCAAAATTTGTGTATTGAAATTTTCTCCTATTTTCTCCATTATTCGAAATTTTTGTTTTTTTTTCAGAGCAACAACCAACATGTTTGTCTGATAAGTGGTCTATTCTCAAACAGGCGCATGAAAAGATGGGTGCAAAAATTATTGGCAAAATTAAGAAACAAACAAGGAATATTCGATGCTATTTAATCACAGAATTTAGTGAACAAAAAAACTATCGAAATGACATCATACGAATCAATACTTTTTTCGAGGCTTTCATCGTCGTCGTCAAAAGAAAAAAGATCGAATGTGATTTCTGCCATCCTCATTAATTTATTCGAGAATCAGTAATATAAAAAAATTTAAACCCGTTAATGCACTTCACAATTCGTATGTTTGTCGAAAATTCTGAATATCGTGGATCTCCTTATTTGACAATGAAGCTCGTGCCATTATTAATGAAGGGATTCCATAATTTCGCACCTGAAATTCATTTTTCTAAAATTATTTTTTTTAAATTCAATTTGTGAAATCGAATCTAAGCATTGTGGGTGCATGTGAAACTAATAGTCACACTCTCAATTCAAATCACACAATTCTTACGTTGGCATTAAATTCGGGATACTGGTGTCGACTAAAATTCGAGCATCTCTTGTTGAATTTTTTCAATTGATTTCAATCAATGTCCTCATAAAAATGCTCGTTTTTTCCACTTACTTCGAGTTTTGGCGGATTCGTTGATTTTGGCCAAAGCCTTTCGTTCTCGAGTTGCGAATCGTACAGCTTCTTCTTTTGATGAATATCGCACCAAATGCACGGGCAACATGCACAGAATCGAGTGAGAAGATCGACGAACTTTCGTCTGACCTTGAGAAAAAAAAACAAATATTGAACGGAGGAGGTTGGAATTTGAAACCTCAATACGAATCTGAGAATCATTCACAATGTAAATTGGAAGACGAAGAGCACACGCCAAAATTGGAAGAAATGACGAAATATCAGAAAGAACCGTATAAAGCTCCTGCATCGACATCAAACTAGCCATGTTCACCGTCTAAAATATCGAATTTGCAAAGCGATTCGGGGTTTGCACGGAAGGAACGATCGCCTCCGAGATTTGATATTCTAAATTAATTCGAAGCAATTTTTTTACCTCCCAGAATGCGATGATGATGTCGAGAATGTTAGCAAGAAGGTATCCAGTCACAACCATCACAAGCATTCTGGTCACAACTCGCAATCTCGACCGAAGTCTCGTCACCTCGCCTCTGCAAACGCCGATATGTTGAAATCTCGATTAATTAATTCCCAAAACTGAATGTGGTGTGAAAAAAGAAACAATTCTGTGATACAAAAAAAGAGTATAAAAATCGAGAAAATAACTTGTGTGAGTTTTTTTTTTTCGTCGAACAAGTGCTTCTAAACGAAACGGTCGAATGCGCAGCTCACTGCAACCAAGTGTGAAATCAAAAAAATTGTTCGGAAAACGAAAACAATCGAATGTGTGTTTTTGGGGTGGAAATCACTCGATTTGTGAGATTACTTGAATATTTTTTGGAAGCATTCTTTTGTCTCCATCCTGTGAAAATTATCGATAGCAATAAAAAAATGTAATAAGAACATGAAAAAGGATATAATCATGCGAAAAATTTACGAAAATCATTTTTTTTCTTCGAATTCACCTTTCGCACGTTCCAAGAGGGCTGAAATCCCATAATTTCTTTTAAAATGTTTTTTTTTTTCACGGCTCGGAATTGCTAGTTTCCACCAAAATTCATACTTACCTGGTTCCCACGGTGATGAAAAGCACCAGGGCTTTCACCGTTTGGTCTCGGTCCGTTTTCCTTACATTCATCACAATACAGGCATTGAAGTACGCAAGAACTGAAAACGATTGATCCGATCGATTGAGATTCAGTTGGTTACCCAAAAATGGCAAAAAGACAGTGACAATTTTTCGAACAAAAAATCTCCAAATCACATCCATTGGATCACCGAAAATAGGGACCACAATGAGTCCCAACGATGAGAATGCATGACATTCAGGACGGTGGACAACCTGACAGCAAACAATATTTAGAATATATAGAATATATTAAATTAATTCAAAATCCAAGGTTACCTCAATTTCGAAGAACACCGATCCTCGGAAAATAATGCTAGCTAGAAAACAGAAAAGGACCACATAATTTCGATGAGTTGCAAGAAGTTGGAACAGTTTCAAAGTGCTATAATTTAGAAGAAGCTATTAAAAAACGATTGTCGCTTTACCGATTATCTGCAGTACTTTGTAGATATCTCTCAATAGTGACTGCCATGAGAAGAAATGAGGCAGCAGAAAGTGTTATGTGAGATACAGTAAACGCTACTCTGAGGTAGTCGTGCCAGACGACCAGAAGTTGAAACGATTCGAAGTAGTCCGTGTAGACTTGCACACACATTATAGCGATGTAGCACAATGAAATGAAGACGTCGCAACCGGATATCCACATAAGATACGTCAAATTCCGTTTGCGAAGAACTTTGCTTGTGCTGAACGTGTAGAAAAGAAGCGAGTTGTGAATTATACTAATAAGCGCGACAATGAGGCCAGTTACACCGACAAATATCATTTTGAATGCCTGAAAAATTGAAATTAATACTTGGATAGTTTCAGAGTGTTCCTACTAAATAGATTTGCGGTGTATACCAGCAGTCGTCATCGGCGATGTCGGTGATATTCGACTCCATTCTAGGCACTGAAAGACATTGCAAAAGCTTGAACGAACAAAGGTTATTTGGCGGAAGTAGGCAATTAGGTTCCATTCTGTTCAGGTCATAGCAGAAAGAAAGGATGATATCATTATTACTAGCAAAAAATAACTATGAAAAGCCAACAATCGATTCGCAGACAAGAATTGAAGGATGAAAAATGGGAAACGCGAAGAGAGAGTTGAATAAGTTAATATTTATAATGCATTCTCATTAGTTCATTGAGGTTACTTGATGCGATTTTCAAGAACAAGACAAGAAGAGATGTCAAAATGAAACAACTATTCATTTTTTGTTATTTTGAACAGATTTTGATTCAATTGAGAATTGAAAATCTTCTTTAAAAAAAGGTTTTTTTCGAAAAATTCAGAAGTTATAGAAATTTTTTAAACAAAAATTCGAGCCTAAAAAGCATATGAATGTGCAAAGTTCAATTAAAAATTAATTTCATGTGAATATAAAAACGAAAAAAAAAAAACATCTGCTTTAAGGACGCACCATCTTTGGTGTGTAGACATTGGAAATATTGTTGAATATGTAATCAAACGACTCAAACTAACATTTTAATTTTCTGAAACTTAATTGCTCAGTTAACTTCAATTTTGGGTATAATTCATTTTGCACATTTTCTCTGATTATCTGCAGATTTTTTGATTCGCATATTTGCACCGAGCAAATGTGCGTTTAGACGTAAATTTGAAGAATTTCTTGAAATTCAAATCTGAGCAATGAGAAAATCTATTCTAACAAAAAAACACTGTTGAAAATAATAAAAAATAATGACGGCTGTTTGAAATTTCTGAAGACCACCAGATCGACGTGATCAACGTGGCAGAAATCAAATCAGGGAAGCGCACCAATTTGATTTGAGTCAATGTGCTTAGAAGGCGGTCCAAAAATAGAGGGCGGCGCCTAGTGTGCGAGCATCTATTTGTGCTCCTCAATTCGTCAGTTATCCACATCTTTGTGCTTGATCATTCCAAATAAATGCAACGACGAGAGCTACGAAAAGAAGAAGAAGAAAAAAGGGTAGCATTTACACTCGCCGCGTTTAACTAGTCTAATTATTCGCGAGGCATTAGTGCCCATTTTTGGAGGTACACTGTCACTTTGTTATATATGATTCGGGGGAAACTGAAATAATTTTAACGAAAAAAAAACGTCTTCGAAAAAAGGGCGCAAAACAAAATAAATAGAAATCTCAATATAATAGAACACTAGGGGAAAACGGAAACGAGGGAGTCTGGAACTAAACAATCCGACACAATTGAACCGGAAAATTGAAATTGACTTTTAAATTGAGGGCAACGTGCAGTTTTTGTAATTAAACTCTTAGATTCTTCGCGTTGCTCGTGATTTTCTCTCGTTTTCTCAGATGACACCAATCGGATATTTGCTCTTAATCACTAAACAAACCCCCCGAGGCACCATTTTCAGATTTCTATTTTCGATAGTGAATTTATAAATATTTTATTGAAATTGTATACGTTCGATTCAATTCGATCGGGAAACAACTTCAAAAAAATGACAACGCAAACAAAAATGTATTGAAAACTCTCTGATTTTTATAGTATTCTAAAATTGATCGACGGGTCAAAAGTGAGTGTTTAAAAGCTGATTTCTAACACTACAATATCGGAAACTATAGTCTTTTTGAATTTGATTATCGGTTCAATTTGAAAGGCCAAATTCGGACAAGACGTTAAATCCGTCGTCATTTTTTGTCGATCTAAATTCAATTTTAACTTTCTCTTATAGCATCATAGTGATGTTTCAATGTCTTTGTCCATTTTCCAAACAAAGACACCACAAAACGCGGATTTTTTTTTAAATAAAATACTCTTCCAAATATTTGCAAGATGCTTGAATATGTCTAGGACCCACAAGTGTTTTTTTTTTTGCTGGAATTTGTGTTTTTCAGAACATGAGTTTCTGAACCGAAAGGAGTGAGCTCAAAAATAACAAATTAAAACGCTTTTAGCACGACAAAAAGAGTGAGTTAACACACGGCTGCAAGGAAAAACAATTTGTGGTCCCGGTAGGCGACCGAAATGCGAAAACTCGAAACATTTTAAATATGTGTGAGCTGGGCGTATTTTCTCTAATTACACTTATGAACTTGCGCCAATTTAAGAAATTCAATTTACTGGGTTGCAAACTGTGGGCGGTAGGCGCTTGTAAGCGTGAAAATTTTCTTATTGAAAAGATTTTTTTGAATTATTGGCTCAAAAAATTCGAAAAATGTCAACCTTTCTACGAAAAAACCAATTCAAATGAGATATATGTTTTTTTCTGTTCATTTGTTTTCAAGCATTTCTAACATTTATTTCAAGTTTTATGATTCTTTTAACCTCGACTGTTAATAAATCACAATCGAAAACCAAAAATGAAAGATATTTGCGAGAAAATCCAAAAAATAGCTCTAGTCCACTAATAGTTCTGTTTTGGCGGCAATTCAAACTAATTTCTTAGAAACTTTCGAGTTTGCGTGGAAGCTTTTAATGTAGATACACTTATTCCACATAAGAAAAGTTTAATTTTTAAAAATTTGTTTAATCTTAGGCTTCGAACATTCACTTACACAAATGAGCGCACAAACGCCCTAGACTGGTGTCTGTGTGTGTGAGCATTCAATTCAATTCAATTCAATTCAGTTTTCGTTTTTGTCTTTGGTATCGAAATTCGGAATAAATTTAAATACATTTTCACAAATGGATTTGAATTGTCTAATTAGAATTCGGTAGCGGCGAAGCAAAAAAAAAATATGTAGTAATCATTCGCAGGAAAACAAAATAATTTTCCAATGGAAAACGTGATCATTTTGTACGGTTTTTAGAATAACACGAAGAAAAAATGAAAGTGAGCGGTTGATAGCCACAAATGGACAAACTCGAAGACGAATCTATTGTTGAAATTCATGTCGCAGTCGGGTTACGTATTTTCTAGCAGATGATTATACGTACATTTGCAATGTTTCCACCCAACTTGGCCTATTAATATTTTATCTCGAAACACCTTCTGGCAAAACAATTTCAAGTTTTTGTTTCTCACGAAATCGGTGGTATTTTCTAATATTATATACGACGTATACGTAAAAAAAAAAACATAAAAGTTTTTTTTTCAAAACTAAAAATATTTTCATGATGTTGTCGAAATAACTATCATTCTGATGGTTGTCTTCTCAAAGCATGTCGTTTTCGGACCACCCGCAGCAAGAAACATTGCAAAGAACCCGACTGACAAAAAGATAATCTATTTAATTGGGTTACACTTCTTTTTATAGTTTTAATAATCGTGAAAATGATCTTATTTATTATTTGTGTAATAATCAAAGGATTTGGGTCATCGAGGTCTAATGCCGAATGGTTTTCGTTTAGTTAAGCAAAAAAAAGCACCAGCATCGGAAATTGTTTTGTAAAAAATCGATGTTTTTGAATTAATTATATAATACGTTTATATAATTTTTTCCGATAACAAATTGCAATTAACGGAATCAAAAGCGTATAACTCTCTATTCAATTCTCTATTTAGATTATACGAAATTCGTACATTAGAACATTTTTGGATGGTTTAGCCCATGTCAAATTTAGAGTTCAGTTTGCACTGAAAAGAAGCTAAGACGAATTGTAAAATTGCGGTGAATTTCTAAAAAAAAACCATAAAACATTGCTCAAATATAAGAAGTTGGGTATGCAGAACACATAAATTATAGTTTTCCTGTTTGAATGTCTGCATGTAGCAACAATTTTTGATGTCTTTCACTGGACTTTCGGCTTCGAACTTTTCAGATAGAAATGCCAGCAAGATTGAAGCATATTTCGTCATTACAATATTATAAATTGCATTTTATATATAATTTAATGACCAATGATGAGCGAAGACGCTCAAATATGGGCAATGCTCAAACGAAGAGAATATTTGAGGAGAAACGCCAAAAATTTTTGGTTTTCTTTTAGCAAATTTGAGACTTTCAGACAATTTGTGTGTCATCTGAATTATTCAACGATTGATCGTTGACTTCTATATAATTGCAAAATGAAAAGTTGGCCTTGATCAAGCAGGTGGACCTAAAGTTCATTGGTCGTGTGAATTCCTCTCAAATCAATCTGCTGGTATTTAAAAAATGAGTTGATATCAATTTGCTAATCACCACGGGTCCGGGTTAAACCAAAATTTGGTGTTTCGAAAAATACCCAATTCACTAAGAATAAAAATAAACTCGAAATATGAAATAAATTGAAATCTCGAATAGTTTAACATTTCTGGCTAAAAGAGCCATAATTTTTCAGAATTAGGCTTCATTAGGCATTTTGGTCCCTTCTTGGCTTTATTTGGCTGGTCCCATTTGGTGAAAGCATTATATAGTGCATACACAATAGAAGCAGTGCTCCGTTGCTTTTGAGCCAGAAGCCGTCATAAGACGGACATGTCTTGTGGATATCTCGAGAATCTCACTGACAACATGCAATACCGAATATGGAAAGTGGACCAAAAATTGTGCTTTGCGGAATTAACGGACGTTTGAAAATACGAACGCATATCTTGTCATTAACTCTAACAGTTTTCTCGAAAATGTGTATAGTTGGCGTCTGGGGCGACTGCTGTACGCGGGTAGATTTACGCGCATGCGGTTTGAAAAGGTCTCGTCACGTGTGAACTCTTGAGCTTCGCATTTCTTGGAATTTCTTTCTTGGAAAAAAAATTTTCTAACCGACCCATAAAATGCAAAATAACCAGTTAGCCCACGCGAGACCCTAGAGAAAGACGTATGCCCGTAAATCTAACCACGTACAGCAGTCGCCGGACGCACTCTAGGCCAAAATACAGGGTGCGCCATAAATACGGAGCCGCAACATTGCGTCAACTCTGGCGTCTACAGTACCCATTTAATTGGGCACAATTATTTTTTTTTTTGAAGTTTATTTTATGTTTTACTAGTTTGTTAAGTTCCAGCTCGATATAATTCGTTTTAAGGTTAT